TGGCCACGGTGTGGCTGTCTCCGGGGTGTGTGCTGCTGCTGCAGTTGCTGCTGCAGCAGCAGCAGCAGCAACAACAATAATAATAATATCAGCAGCACTCATTTATTAATTATAAATCAAATTAATGCCAGCAGCACAAAACAAATTCCTTACTATTAACAGAAGATAGCAGCAGCAGCAGCAGCAGCAGCAGCAGCAGCAGCAGCTGCTGCTGCTGCTGCTGCTGCTGCTGTGCTGCAGTAACATTTGCTGTTATTTAGAGCAGCAACAGCAACTTTTGTGTGGAGAGTAGCTTTGCCTCATGCTGCTGCTTGCTGCAGCAGCAGCAGCACGTGCTGCTGCCGACGATGCGTGTGCAGCAGCAAATACCCTCGTGCTGTCTGTATGAACCAGACACAAACAAATTAACTGCTGCAGCTACAGATATCGAAGCAGCAGCAGGCAGTGCTGCTGCTGCTGCTGCTGCTGCTCTTTTGTTTATCATTTCAGCTCAACCGCAGAACAGTCAATCTATATTTATATTTATTTATTTGTTGTATTTCTTTTTATTTTTATTTATTTTTATATTTATATTTAGATTCTATGTTTATACTTTCTTTGTTATGGTTGCTGCACTGCAGCGTGACGCTCAGCAGCAGCAACAGCAGCAGCAGCAGCAGCAGCAGCAACAGCAGCAAGGGAAGCAGCAGCAGCAACAAAAGCAGCGGCAACAGCAGCAACAACGACCGCAGCAGTAGCAGCAGCAACAACGACAGCAGCAGCAGCAGCAGCAGCAACACATGTATCATACGCAGACTACATACACCTCAACTTGAGGGTCTCTGCTGCTGCTGCTGCAGCAGCAGCAGCAGCAGCAGCACTGCTGCAGCACTGCTGCAGCAAATATATTCGTCGCTTGCGGTGTACATACACCCCAATTCATGCCTTCTTATCCTTCCCCTGCTGCCGCTGCTGCAGCTTCTGCTGCTGCTGCTGCTTCTGCTGCTGCTGCTGCTGCTGCTGCACAGCAGCAGCAGCAGCAGCCATGCGTCCCCGTAGAGCCCCCGATGCAAGGGAGAGGAGCTGCAGCAGCA